ATTATCTTCAGACCGCTCATTATTCAGAGGGTCCTCGTGTGCAACAACATCGTGATGAACAACACTATTTTCCTCCAAGCAAGGGGCATTTTGCTCAATTGTAGGAGGTGTTCTATGAGCAAATTTAATCTCAGCAGAGGACAAACAACCCGCAGCATTTTTCCTTAATTCAGGGTGCAGTTGAAAGCAATGTGTCGAATCATGCCCAAACATGCGGCAGTGGGAGCAGTAGTGAGGGTGTTTCTTAAGAATAACATGTTGCCAGTATCCCGTATGTGTTGAACCTATTAAAACCTCCTCAGGGGGGGGGGGGGGGAAGGTAACATCCCTTTCAATCAGAATTCTAGCCATTGAAGGCCTTGTTAAGTTGAAAGTCGGAGAATCTAACATTAACGGTTTACTAAACATGGCAGCGATTGAAAACAATATCTCACGATTGAATGCACTTTTAAACCAGGTAGCCGAAGTCAGACATAAATAATAGGAAGCTTAGCCCGAGGATCAAAATCAATAGTCCATTTTAGGACTTTCATCCAAACATCCTCAAAACAAACAGTTCTACGAGCAAAAAGTTTAGCGTAGTCATCCTCATTAGACAACTGAATCAGAATATGCCCGCTGTCGAGAGCACCAATCTTCCAGCCCCTGCTAAATTCAAAAGCTCAAAATGCTTCAGAAGAAAATCATATTTAGGAAGCCCATAGAGAAACTTACCCACCAGATGAAATCGATAAGCAGACACCAGAATGGTATTTTTCAGAGTCGGAGAGGAAGAGCGCAAGCTTACCCCCCTTCTTCCCCTGCTTCTTAATGAAATCATACTCCCCACCAAGAATCAGAGATTCATGAAAAGAAGAGGGAAAAGCAAACGTAGGAGCAGCACCGGAGGAGGAGCCCCCGACATAAGTTTTTGCCATTGACGGCTCGAGAACGAAGAACCGAGGAACATGAGACGAGCTCGAAGGAGAAGACAAAGCAAGAAAACAAACGGAAAGATCTCACCAGCATCTGACAGATGAGAGAGAAGAAAACCCGTCAGCATCACGAAATCACCTCCAGGTCACCAGGAGACCTAAACTCTAGCAGAGCTCTCGAACCGTCCATCATATATATATATATATATTTCTTTTTTATTTATTTATTTATTTTTCAAAGGAAATCGGTATTTGGCTGATGCCCAAATACCGATTTCCCATGCGCTAGGCCGTATGATGAGAGCCTGTGCTATGTGACTAAATATTCGAGAACCCAGCGCCACTGAGGATCAAACCTGTGACCTGAGGGGACTTACACTGAAACCTGTCAACCAACAGGCCACAACTTGCGACACACACACACACATATATATATACATATATATATATATGTATATATATATTGAAAAATCCCAAGGGCTAATATATTAAAACAAAAAATATACAAAAAGGTTGTACGAGATGACCTAAAAAAAACCCAACTCACACAATACAACACATAAATCCTAAATAAAGCAAAGATACATAAAGGTAAAAAATCAAAAAGCCACCAAAGGGCGCAAAAGTGCTAGGGACGTCCTACTTTAGTCATTCCTATGCCTCTATTTCTCAGAAGTGAGCTGACTAACAAATTAGTAAGGTGAGTAACATTGCTCGAAGTAACCAAAGTATCATCCATCATATTTCTGAGCTCTTCCATTCTTCTTCTTCCTTTCTTCTTCTTCCTCCTGGATGTGTGGACCTGTCATTCCTCATCCGATGATTGACACTCATCTGATTATGAGATTCCAAAGTTGGTCGGAGTGGTGTAGGCTGTTGCACATTATGATCCTCATTAGCCTGAGTAACATTAACTGCTTGCTCGACCTGATGATGCGGTAGTGAAGCAGTAGAAGTATTGCTGCCTGTAATATCGGTGATAGGTTCTAGGGCAGGTGGGGTTTAAAGATTGTCCCTTTCCCCCAGCTACAACTGGGGACTGAATGATTGTTATATTGCCTACGAGAATAGTGACGTCTTCAGAGGTATCTCTTTTGATGATTAATAGGGTCAATAACTTGGAGCTGGTCAGGAGGAGACGAAATCATTGCCTCTGGCGGAGCACTATGTTTTTTTTGTCTGAGTTGGGGTGTAGATGGTGACGTTGAGAACTGGAGTGGCCGAACATACGATATTTCGAACAATACGAAGGAAAAGACTCAATCACTACCTTTTGCCAATATCCATGATGTCATGCGCCCAACCAAATTTCCTCAGAAGTGGATGAAGTGATGCCTCTTTCAATAAGTACTCTGGCTTCAGATGAGCGAGAAAGATTAAAAGTAGGAATGTCCGTTTTGAGTGGCTTACCATAAGTTGAGGCAATAGAGTACAACACTTTTTGAGTAAAATAATAAAATTTCAGACCAAAGAGACGAATCCAAATTAGAATGATTGGTGGTTCCGTCTGTGGGTCAAAATCCATAGATCATTTCAGAATCTTCATTGCTCTGTTATCAAACTAGATTATTCTTCTAGCAAATAAGCGCGTATAATCATCTTCATTATTTAGTTGTGAAAGAACGTTTCTTCCATCTAACAGTCTAATTTTCTACTCCCCAACAAGGTGCATAAGCTCAAATTCCTTGCAAATAAGCTCCATTTTGGGTTGATCAGATAGAAACTTCCCAACCAAATTTAGACGACAGGAGGAAACATGTTGAATACCTTCAGCTTCTGTAAAAAAGATGTCAGACTTCCCGTTCTTCATATCAGGTTTCTTGATGTTCTTCGTCCACTCAAACGAAGGAGGGAAAGAGGAGAAAAAACACGATTTTGGTGTACCTGAGGCATGGACACTCGTAAAGGCAGCAGTATACGATTTGTCCGAAGCCATCCTCAATAGATTGAGGTGTGACGTTAAAAACATTGAAGAAAGCAAAGCAGAGAGCAAACTTCGAATCCAGAACATGGAGCAAGAGCAGAAACCCGAAGCCCCTGCGAAATCAGCTTGAGCCCGAGGAGAGAGGCGACAACTGGAAGGCGAGGCCGCACGAGCAGCAGACAACGAAGAGATGCCGAGCTCGACGACTGAGCCCAACGCAGCCGCACGAGCAGCAGGCGACATGAGATGCCGAGCTCAAAGACTGAGGCAGACGCAACCACACGATCAGAGACGAGCGACGAAGCAGACGACGCACTTTGACGGCGGTGACAACGACGAATCAGACGGAAGTGACAGCGAATGACAAACAGAGCTTGATCGACCAAGAGATGCAGTGGAGTAATAAACAGGGATCGCCATAGTAAAACCCTAGCAAAGCTTGAGAGTTAGTGGGAGCGCCATTATATATATAT